TTTTTTTTTTCCATATTTTTACTTGCCCTATATACATAACTGAATTCTAATTGTAGTTTGTGATATTGGCGCTCTACTCTGTTATATCCCTTACAGAGGCATTTGCTGTTGTTCGCGAAGCTGCCAGAAGGAAGCTTGGAATGCGCCATTTTGATGTGCAGGTTTCTATCTCTCTTTTCTCTTTGAGTGGCCGTTGTATCATGCAATCACATGCACTTTTTTTAGTAGTATGTTCGTTCATGTTGGGTGGAACACATTTCAATTGTGGGACTTAATCCTTGTGATTCTCCATGGAGGCAACAGGCAAGAAAGTTTTGCTAAGTCAAGACTTGATTAGATGTTTATTTTTCTTCCATTCCAATGATTTCCCTCAAAATTATCATCCATTTGAGCCTTAGGTTCTACCTGTAAAATTATCTATCTTGCAGAGTTTACAGCATGTGAACACAAGTAAAAGGAATTTGCAACTGTAGGGAATACAGAGAGCAGTAAGATAGAGAGGGAGCAAAAAAATTGAAAATAAGAGTAGGCTTCTACTATCATTCTTGTAGTCTAGATTTTGAAAGAAGTTTTACCGGGTTCAAGAGTGATTTGTGAGAGAGAACTCAGTTTCTCATTATACTGTAGAAACTTTGTAATATATTAATATTCCTATAGTCTATAGATAGAGGTATAGTGACTGTTTGTAGATGTATTTTCTCCTTTATTTGTTGTGTTGAATTCCCAAGTCAATTTTGTTAATGCACGCACCTGGATGTACAGTAGCTCTTATTTCTGCAGCTCCTCTTCGTGCTTGTATAATAAATTATCTAAATTTCACTATTGTCCCTGGTATCTTAAAGGAATGTTGTTGAGTTTATTTATGCAGTGAGTTTTAATGCCAGATAATTGGTGGTGCGGTGCTTCATGATGGATCCATTGCAGAGATGAAAACGGGTGAAGGAAAAACATTAGTTTCCACATTAGCTGCATATCTTAATGCACTAACCGGCAAGGGTGTTCATGGTATGTTGTCTATAATTTTTTAAAAGTGGCCATGGCTATTATGCAAGCAGCTAAGGTCCATAATATGTTCAGAGAACTTGCTTAAATTCTTCAGTTGGTTGGAACATCAATCATTCAACTTATTGGTTAATGGTTAAATGATTTTAGTCATCAGTAATGGCTGCCTGAGGAATTCCAAACTTGAATTGGAGTAACAATGAAGAAGTTTCAGCTGGTGTGCTGGTGGAACTGGTGCATATAGTATCTTAGTGGTTTTATTTATTCTTTAAGGCTTCTGTTTTCAGAAACCCATTTCTTCCTAAGTAGTTTCTTGTTACCGAGTTTGTTCTTTCTTTCTTTTTTCTTTTTCCTTTTCTTTGATAAGAAAAGAGATATTATTAATAAACAGAGAGAAGAGAATACAAAGATGAGGATAAGTATCTTGAAAGACCTCCAAACAGCAGATGAACAGAACACAAAAAGAAACAAGAAAATCAACAGAAAATTATTTTCTAATTTCTCTGTAGAAAGGACACAGAAATGTCTCTCAAAGAATCAATAATGAGTTTGTTGTTTCTTGTGCCATACTTGTATGCATATACGTTATATGTGGAGAAGCCATCTTGTTACAAGTATATAAAAAATAAGTTTGCTGTTTCTTAGAACAAGCTCATTAGTTCTGTTTTGTCCTATAGCTTATAGCTTTTACTTCTTGAAATTTTTTTCTTGTGAATTAGGTAGTATAAAGAAGCGGGGTTAAACCAGTGGAACTGCGAGTTTCATGTTGTGGGTCCTGATGGACAATTTTGGAGCAATTTCCTGTTAACATTAAATTCTCTTTTTGTAAGAAAAAGAGCACATTTATCAAGATAGAGAGGATACAAAGGAGAAGCATAGTGTATCCTCCTAGGAATATACAACTAAGGAGAAAAATACCCCATTAAAATCTTTTTGCTTAATAAAAAAACGCAACCTTCAAAAGAACCTTGGGACACAAAGACGCCATGCAAACCATTTTAAATAAGATGTGTGCAATGAAATGAACATGTTGGTTAAGGATCCTCACATTATGTTCCAACTATAAACTTCAAGACATAGCAAAGAGGGACACTATAAAGCTTTATTATTTTATTTTTCTCTTGTTGGGTAAAAGAAGTATTCTTAGAAAGAGAGAATAACAATACAGGCTAAGGGAGGAAAGAAAAGCAAAAATGAAACAAGAGAAGCAAAGAGGATGAATCAAAACAATCTAGTGACTAAAGGACTTCTAACTCGGAAAGATAGCCGCTCTCACAATGCTAAATCTTCCATACTCCACTCAAAATTATGCAAATAGGATGGAGATAGAATCGCACTATTAGGAGGACAAACCTGGAAAATTGTCAATGGAGAAAATAGTTTAGAGCAAACCCTCTAAGCCAAA